TTTGTTTGCTTTTAATCTCTTTCATGTCTATAACTTTTAAAACGTATTTAATGTACTATTCATTTAAACATCTTTGGCAATCCAAATTGCTGTTCCAGTTTTGTTGTTGTTGATTAACTTTGAGTCAAGCACAACTCATAGCTACACTATGAACAAAAGGCCTGAAGTTTTTCTATAGCTATCGACATTTATCAAAGTTCATAGAGTTTCCAGAGGCATGATGCTTTAAGAATTGGATGCCACTCTTGCTTCCAAGTACCAGTTTTAGATTACCTTTAACGGACTTATTCTTTAAGGGATATATTTTTCTGCTTCTTTTCATGCCTAGTAATGTTTGTTTAGATAACGGAGTGAGCAGATTTGCTTCAGTTTCGATATTTTTGTGTTTCTATAAACTTCCTTGAGTTTTGTTCTAGTATTCAGTTCTTTGGGAATAGTTGGATTGTTTGGGTCTTACTTTTAAATTTGTTAGGTTTTATAACAGTGCTTGGTCAGTTTAGGGCTAACTATTTACTACCATTGAAGCAAAGTTTGTTGTACTATGAGTAGTTGACTCAACAGCACCTAACAACAATAACGTGTATACTGATAGTTTTCCAGTCTGATTGGTGAATATCAGTGCTATCCCTAGCTCTAGGCAAGTGCCAGATATTGTTGCCACTAGTATTTTCAGACTATTATGTATAATCACTTACAGTTATTAGTACTTAGCTGAATATTTAAAAAGGACTATTTTCAGATCTCCAGTATTCTTTTTCTGTGCAGCTCCCTACTTTTAAGTGCTCTGCCACGATAATTCTAGCTATCCTGGTCTTTCTGGAGATGAAGAAATTAATTTCCTGAACAAGAAAGTCTGTTGGGCTCTGTCTGGGATACCCCTCCTTGCACCAGTCTAAAAATTCTCAAGCTGCAAGTTAAAATATTCATCAGGCTCATCGTGTTTGTACCTGTCTCTCAGAAACCACTGTCCTTCTTTGCTTGACATGCAAAATTCAAACTCAGTGGGGTTGAGTTGTAGCCAGTTTATAGAAGACCCTCCATGTGGTTGCTAACGTTGTAAATCCCATGGGAGGGGACTTCTCATCCTTCTCCCAAAGATCACTGGGACATATGATGTTATTGTAGTTAGCCACCAGAGAGTTGGCTATGACTCACGGTCACCCTTGCCTTGCAAATCATTGTCCTATCTATTTTGCCTGTTATTTGGCTGGTTAAGGCAACAGGGTAAGTTTGCCCTCTAAATTGGCAGGAAGTGGATGACATACTGCTTTTCTCCTGGATCCAAGTCCTTGCTGCTCTTTTTCACTATTGAGATGTAAATTTTACTATTATTATAAAACAGTAAAATTCTTTACTGAATGTTAGAACTCTCTAGCACCCCCAGTATCCCTGAAATCTAAACTCTGGCTTTCTTGGATTCACCAAGATTCTCCAACATGTTGCTGTCAAGTCACAGTGCCAATCCACCCTGTCAGGTCTTCCTCTCTTCACTGACTACTTTTTTTCAACACGATGTCTTTTTCCAAAGACTAGCACCTTCTGGCCCTCAGTATATGAGCTGACGTTTCACCATCCTTGCCTCTAAAGAGCACTCTGGTTGCACTTTGTCTAAAGCAAATTTGTTTGTTGCATCCATGATGCATTCAATACTCTTGATCACATTCAGTGCTTTTGACCAAAATTCAAAGGCCACAGTTCTTTGCTTTTGTACTCACTGAAGTGAGTTCCCAGTAGAACTGAGAGATGACAGTACTCATCTTATTTGGTCTCCTTTTCTACAGATCAGTCTCCTGTCACCTGTCTGTCTGAAAAGTTATTCCATATATTGTATCTAGGATTTTACTTATTACAACCCATGAACCCTTTTATTCTCTTATGGTCAGAAGTGAGAATTTAAATTTCTTTTCAGATTTGACGCATCATTTTTATACCTTTTTTGCTTGCAGTTGTTGATTGCCTTTGAGTTGAACATGACTCATAGCGACCCTATGAACAATAAGCCTGAAGCCCTTCTACAACTACTGACATTTATCAAAGTTCATAGAGTTTCTGGAGGCATGTTGTTTAGGAAGTGGATGCCACTCCTGCTTCCAAACCCCTCATTTTAAAAATTATTTTCTTCCTACGAATATTTCACACAGTTAGTCTATAATCAACTCTAAGAAGTTTCTGGTGTCTAAATCTGTTATTTGCTTTTTCTACTCATCCTTACTCATGGTGATTTTTTTCCTTAAATAGCTGGTAATCTCCTCTCTTTATCTCTCTTTAATGAGCACACATTCAATTGGTTTTAAG